CACCAAAATTTCTTGAAATGGAAACCACCTAATTTAAGCCACAAACAGAAAGTTGTAAAATTGGAGAAGGAAAGAGAGAGATAAGGTGCCTTACATGAGACTAATAAAAACATGTGCTTTACTGTCCCAAAATTTTCTATTAAAATACCACTTTTAAAAAGCAATTCTAGCCTGTTTGGAATCCATTCTGCTCTTATCTTAATATTTAAATCCCTTGATAAATATTTGACTTCTAGAAAATCATGATCTCATGTTCCCAAACATCCTTGAGATACTGAATTTTTTTTTACAGAAGTAATTCCATATCCACATGATGATGATAATAATAATAATAATAATAATAATAATAATAATAATAATAAACACAGTATCTTGTTTTTCAAAGTCAATGCTGACACAAACAGTACCCAAGAAGGGCTACTGCTAAATAAAAAGAGGCAGTTCCATCTCCAGTCTTAACATAACATGCTGCTTACCATAAAACCTAAGTTCCTGAAGATACTGGGGTGCAGATTCTGACAACTTCAGTCACATAATCTCTCCATGAGTGGAGCAACTCACTTCTCCATTAAGAATTTACAAAGTCTGGAGAAGACATGAGAATATTGGCCATCGGGACCCATGCACAGTCCAAAGCCTACTTTATCATGACCAATATCACATGGTATTATAAGCAAACAATTTTAAGGAAAAGGCAGCAGGGGAGAGTGCTGGACTTGGAATCAAGAAGACCCGGGGTTCAATTTTTACCTGTGACTCTTACTATATGTATGACGCTAGACCAGTTACAACTATTATGAGCCTCAGTCAACACTGTAAGACTTCAAAAGTTAAGATGAGTTGCAATTCCTATCAGTGGAGGCAATATAGGGGTTCACCAAGATATATATCCATAATTCAGTAAAAATTATTTTCTCAGTCAGGTAGGCCATATTTCATTGACAATTAACTGTAATAAAAGTATTTCAAAGTATTTCAAAATGTAGGCAGATATGTACAATGGTGTAGCATTTAAAAATTCTTCTGTCAAAGAGACCCCTCTCAGGACACTTGCTTTCTCCCCACCATTCTATATTGTCCATTCCAGTTTCAACATCTACCACCAACCCTAATTACTTTCCTATCTCCCTCATCTTGAGTTTCCTCTTCTCCCCCTTCAATGAACCAGCATTCTGGGGCCCTAAAGTTCTCCACGTGAACAAAGCAGCCTCCAAACCAGCTACTCTTCTGAAAGACCTCAAAGCCGCCTTTTAAGACAACACCCAATCAGCTGGCCACCTCTCCTGAGATTCACAAAAATTCTGTTCTGTATTTCTGCAATTCCTTACTCGACAGTGGTATGACCTTTGATTTTTGTATACTCCAAATGCTATCACCAACCATAGGAAGGACAGGATGTGAATGCACATAAGCCCCAAAAACAATCAGAAAAGTGACGTGTTGAGTTCAAAACACAGCTGAACCCACACACAAAGAGAAAGCAAATTTAACTGGGATGAAGCAATATGCTTAAGTAAATGCAGCCTTGTGTAAAATTAATTTTCATCCTCATATGAGGACTCAATGGACTAATGCTAGCTCTGGTTCTACCACTTACTGGCTGTGTGACTTTAGGTATCTCATAGCCTCTCTAAGTTTCCATCTCCTCATACATAAAATGGAGCTAACACCTGCCCGAACAACCTCACTAGGTCTTTATGAGGACCAAAAAGAAATCAGGCATGTGAAAGCACTTTGTAAAATTGTAAAGCTTTAAAAAAAGGTATGGTATTGCTATTAATGGGATTGTACTATCCCATATAACTTTCCGAGACTGCTATATCTGCAGGTTAATGGAAAGAGGAAGTAAGCACCATGCTACAGCTACACTGACCAAATCAATCTGAAAAGACGGTACCCTTTTGTGACCAGGAGTAAGAAATTTTTTACTGCAATTTACTACCTAAAGATAGCAGGTGGCAATTACTAGGCCTCAGAAGCAAGGAGGATTAGAGCATCCCAAAGGTCTGGAATGAAGTAAAGGGAGAAGATGCCCTATCCCATGATGAAATAACAGAATACCTCTCAAGACTCTCTGACATCCTGGACACAAGGGCAGCAAAAAAAAAACTATTATCACTGCATATCTAAGAAAAGATATTTAAGAATCTCAAAATTCCAAACTGTGAAATGTTGGCAGAAAGAAAATGATTACTCAATAGAACTGTGGAGAAACTGGAGAAGGGCGTGCTAGTAAAAAATAAGTTTATAGTCATACCTCATACCATATACAGCAATGAATTCCAATTGTCACAATAATCTAAACATTTTAAAAAATAATTTTAAATGGGAGGAAAAGCAAATTATATATCTATCTGAATTGTGGAGAGAAAATGATTTTATTATTGAAAAAACAGAAAATTATTAGGGATAAAAGAGACAGCTTTGATTACATAAAAATGAAAAGATTTTATGCAACAAAAAATATAAAACAATAAAAAGAAAACAAAGAGTGGGGGGATATTAACAATAAGCTTATCTACTGAAATCAGAATTTATCAAAATCTTAATCTGGGGGCCCATTATCTTGCTTTTTAATATTTTGAAAAGTGTATTTCAATACAACTGGTTTCCTTGGTAATCCTATTTACTTTATTTTATGTACATAAAAACATTATTCTGAAAAGTAGTCTATTGGTTTCATTGGTTCATGACACAAAAAACATTAAAAGAACTCCTAATTTGTAAGAAAGTGAAACAAATTCATAAATATAACACCTATTTCCCCAATGGATAAAATCATCAAAAATATGTGAACGGCAGTTTTAAAAAGAGAAAATTCAAGTTCTGAATAAATAGTTGAAAAACTGTTCCAATTCTCTATTAATCCACAAAATGAAAATAAATATAACTTTGAAGCATATGACACCTTAAAACTCAAATTTTCCAAGGGAGTTAAAAATCATAAAATCTAAGAAGGGTGGGGGTATCAGGGAAGAGACATTCAATTCCCTTATCAGAGAAATTGGAAATTGATGCCATCTTTTTGGGAAAATAACCTAAAGATAACAAGCAATTCTACTTTTTAACGCCTGGATCTCACTGCTAGGATTCTATGTTAAAGACTGCTCTACTCCAATGATTCATCATGGTGGAGAGATAGCCCTGGTTTCCCAAAGGCTATCCCAGCAAAGGACAACCTTTGTCAGATTCCAACATGCTAGAAAGGCATGGAGTCCTGGCAACAAACTATGTCTGGTGTCCAAAGAACAGCCTGGCTAAGTACAAAAAGGCTCATCACTAGCAGGTTGGCTACCAGTTGATAAACTCTTTGGCCTCTGCAACCCATAAAACAAAAAATGTTAGTAGTATAAAAAGATCCACCTGTGCAAAAACACTTACGGCAGTTTTACTGATAACAGAAAACTACAAATAACTGAGGTGTCCCAGAAGCTGAGGAATGGTAGAAACAATCGTGTTTTATCAATATAATGGAACAGGACTGCCCCATAAAAATGATGGCTATGCACAATACAAAGAAATATGATGACTGTGCACAAAGTGACACAAAGCAGAGAACGCAGGATTAGAAGGGAAAAAATGCACATTGGCCATCACTATTTTTTTTTAAAAGCAGGAACTTCTTAAGTACACAGATATAAAAGTCAGGGCAATGTAATTTTTACATCTTTATCTATCCCTTACTTTCAATGAAATGTAAATCATCCAGATTATACACTCTTTATTTGGGATTTTATTCCTTATTTAAGGTATTCCTCATTTAAGGCAGGTAAAAGATGAAATGACTGAGGAAACAAAGGTTCAAACTTCTGAGCATATCAATTTATTGAGCATTGCATGCCAAATGCCTAACAAATTGGGACCAGCCTTACTCAACTTTTACACTGGACCCCAAATAGAGGGGAAGACAGATTTTTATGCATAAAAACAATTAATCAATTAATTAATTATCAATTACTCAAATAAGACCAATTAATTAAAGAAAACAATTAACCAGGATACAAAACTCGGTAATCTGATTTCCAATTGGAAGGAAGATTAGGGGCTTTCTGAGCTGGGAGAAGGAGAGAAAAGAGGTGCAATTCCCTGATGGTATCCCACTCCCCCACTCAAGTATCTGTATTCAATCAAAGGAATATGGAAGCAATAAGTGATTGACCAATATGGGGGCAGTTTTCAAATAAGACAAATGGGTTGCATGAGATCTATAGTTGTGAGAAAACTTCTTGCATCAATCTTTGGATCTGACCAGGTTTCTGGTCAGCATAACCTAGGTCCTTAGTTAAGGGTCTCTAAGCAACAGGCAGAGGTGGTCCAGCTTCCCAGTCACACAGTGTTGGATTCAAACAATGCAATAAAGTTTTCTCACAATTCCCATAAATGAATAAAGTTTTCTCACAAGACAGAAATTAGACTAGAACTATAATTGAATAGAAAGGGAACTGCACTAGCTCCAGAATTGAGTCACAAGATGGAGTGAGTGTGGTTCACTCAATTCCTACAGTACAGAGTGCTGAGGTTATTAAGTTTCTAATAAAAATTATCAGAAAAAAAAAATAAAGTTCATGTGAGGGTAAAAAAAAATCAATTTCTAGACTCAGCCAACATTCATTAAGAACCTTGGACACAGAAAAGTCTGGGCTACACAGGATACAAAGACAGAGACAATACAGTCTCAACCCATCATTAAAGGTAAGAATTGGGGCTTACATGATAGCTATTTTAGGCTTTTTCACTTTCACTCCTTGGTCCCTCTCTCTCCACATGCTTTTGATTATAGTACATGCCTCTTATTAAGGAAATTTCCACAGCTTCTTCTCCTGACATCCCTCAATCCCATGAAGTTTTTTCTTGTAGTCAGGGCTTTTTTAAAGGAAAGCAGTATAGTTAAGAGCCCTATGGTAATAACTTGAGCGGCAACTTCTTGTAAAACCACCCAAGGGTGAAGAATCATGTGCAGAACTCAGTCAGTGCTAAGCCTTAAGCCTACATCTGCTTACCACGTGTGTTGGTAGCCATGTCAGCCACTTTCTGAAACGCATCCAAGAAGGCAGCAGCTGCTACTACTGTCGTCCTGAAAGGGAAACAGATAACAAAAGCGTGAGGAATGTCTTATTCCAGCAACTGCAGTAGGGCCAAAAGGCTAAAGCCTTCACAGTCCGACCGGTGTAAATTTCTGCAAGAAAGCCCTGAAATAGTCTTGTTGCAGCACCAACGATGGATGGATGGGCAGACAGATGGATGAACGGATGGATGAACAGATGGATGGATGGATGGATGGATGGATGGATGGTTGGATGAATCAATACAAAGCGAGACACAGACATAGAGAGAGAGATGAACAGAGAAAGAGATGGATAGACAGACACAGACATACACAGAGATGGATGGATAGGATAGATAGATGAATAAAGATAGGAAAAGAGAAAGACAAAAGTCATGCAGAATGACAGATGTGTCAGGTCAATAGACGGAAAGACAGAGAGATGTATCGAGAGAGATATAGAGATATGGATAGAGAGACAGAATGGATGGAGACAGAGAGAGAAGGATAAGTAGAGGGAAAGAGAGACATACAGAGAAAAGAGATTGTATAGATGAGATAGATAGATAAGATAGATAGATAGATACAAGCCTTTTTAAGGTTTGCAAAGCACCTAACATATATATATGTGTGTGTGTATATATATATATACACACACACACATATATATACACACACACACACATATGATCTCACATGCAATACAACAACCCTGTAAGGTAAGGATCATTGGTATTATTATCTCCATTTCACAGAAGAAGAGGCTTAAGTTCAAGGAGGTGCCTATCTCACCTACTATAGGACTCCTTTAAAATGGGATTGTTTTTGCAATGGCAAAAAACAAAAAACTGGATACTAAAAGTATACCTGTGAATTGAGGAATAGCTGAATTAATCATGACATATCAATCAATCATTAAACATTTATTAAGGGTCAACCACGTGCCAGGCACTGTGTCACATGCTGGGGATACATAAAGAGGCAAAAGGCGGTCTCTGCCCTCAAGGAACTTACAATCTAATAGCTATATGGGTACAATGAAATGGGTACAGAGTGCTGTAAGAAATGAATAAAAAGATGGTTTTTAAAGAGTTATAGAAAGATTTGTATGAACTAATTCAGAACAAAGCAAGTAGAACCAGAAAAAATGTATAATATTAATATTATAAAAGTGAACAATTTTGAAGACATATAAAATGAAGAAGAATGAAATAAACAGAACCAGAAAAACAATTTATACAACAACACTGTAAAGACAAACAACTTCAAAAGTTGTAAGAACTTTAATCAATGCAATGACGATCCATGATTCCAGTGGACTGATTGTGAAGCACCCTATCTAACCTCCTAGAAGTGACGCTCAGGGTGAAGAACAGGACATACATTTCTATGAAGGAAGTGATTTAGCTTAACTATATATATTTGTATGAAGGAGAAAAGAAGGGTTTCTGTTTATTAAAAAATAAAATGTAATTCATAAAAACGAGATTATATTAACACCAGACTCAATACCAGCAGACTATCTCGTTAATATGAGTCAATAAACAATTGTAGTTGGGATCCAATTCCACCAGAGCATTCCGTTACTAAAATAGAAAATTCAGGATTGAGATGGAAAAGATAGCGCGCTACAAGAAGCAGCAAACTTCCCCACATTCTTTAGAGGTCTATAAGCAAAACTAAGACGGACCCCTGGTGGGGGTGTCATAGAAGAAATTCATTAGGGGTTGGACTATATGGCCACTGAGTTCCCTACCAACTCTGAAATTCCGTGATTTGGTGGTTAGAAATGTTAAAACAACAAGTGTCTCTCAAAAGATCCCCATTTCTACAAAAGCTATAAACGAGAGATAGAGAAACAGACACAGAGAAACAGACAGAGACAGAGAGAGGTGGAAGAGAGACAAAGAGAGGGAGGGAGGGGGAGAGGGAGAGAGAAAGAGACAGAGAGAGAATGAGAGACAGAGACAAAGAAGGGAGAGACAGAGAGAACAGAGATAGAGAGGAACTGGGTAGAGAGATAGTCTGAAAAGAGAGAATGAGAGACAAAGACAGACAGAGGCAGGGACAGAGAGAGACAGAGAAAACCACAAACATACAATTCTAGAATGCTAGAGCTGGGGGGGGACCCTCAGAGATCATATAGTCCAACCTCCTTGTTTTATGGAGAAAGAAACTGGGACCCAGAATTGAAGGGGTTTGCCCAGGTCGGGAGCCAGATATCAGCCCTAGGTGTCTGATCCTGAGCCCAGAAGTACGTTTCTGGCAGGAATTCTTAACCTGGCATCTGTGAACTTGCTTTTTTAAAAATATACATTTTAATAACTTCATTGCTATAGAGTTGATTTCCTTTGTACTTCCACATATTTTTATTTTGTGCATTTGATTCTGAGGAGTTCCGAGGCTTCACCAGACTGCCAAAGGGCTCACCAAAAAGGCTAAGAATCCCTGCTTTACAGAGAATGTAGTCATTGCAGCTGGGAATGAAAACTGGGCCAGGAAATAATCTATCCCTCAATGAGCATGTGTTAGAGGAGATGCACCAGAAAATGTTTTTTTTTTTTAAAACATTACATCTTCCAGGGGGCCAGGAAACGAAATCTATGATACTATTTTTCAACAGAGGGCAATAATTACAGCATCACCAAATACATGACAAAGGATAAGATAGCAAGAGGGAAAAATGTTTAAATCTAACTTGAGAAAAAGGAGAGATTACTAGTCTAGATTAGTAGTAGTTCCTTTTAATTAAAGATTTTGAAACGCTTCTTAAAATAAGCATCTTGATAGTAGTCAAAAGGGCTTTGCATAGGATGTCTGGAGCTCTAAATACCAAGTTTGTTTGTTTTCTAAAATGGAACCCAGAATTCACAGTGGGAGCAGATCAGTTTCTGATCAATCAACAGGCATTTATTAAACACTTAGTACATGCCAGGCACTGCGCTAAGTGCTGAGGATACAAAGAAAAATTTCTGACCTCAAAGACCTTACAATCTAATTGGGGAAAGAATATGTACATAAGTAGATCAATACAAGATACATAAAGAGTAGACAGAAGATAACCTCAGAGGGAAAGGCATTAGCAATTTGGGGCTGGGGTTGGGATGGGTCACTAAAAAAGGCCTCCTGAAGAAGGTGGTGTATGAACTGAGTCTTGAAGGAAGCCAGAGAATATAAGAGGGGGTGGCAAGGAGGGAGAGTATTCTAGGGAGAGGGGAAAGCCAATGCCAATGCACAAAGTTGGGAGACAGGGTCATATGTGAGGATGGGTAGGCAGGCAAGCAAAGCAGTATGGCTGAACCATGGAGTATTTGGAGGGGAGAAAGGTGTTAGAATGGAAAGCCAGGTTCTGCAGAGTTTATATTTAATTCTAGAGGAAAGGAGGACCACTGGAATCTACTCAAAGGGGGAAAAGGGTGGCATGGTCATATCTATACTTTGGGGAAATTACTTTGGCAGCAGAGCAGAAGATGGACTGAAATGGGGTGAGACTTGAGACAGGAAGGCCAATAACTGCAATAGTCCAAAGGAGAGATGATGAAAGTATGAACCATGCTGGTGACTGTGTGAGTGAAGAGAAGGGGGATGTATGTGGAGGTAGTAACAAACTGTATGACCAAGCGTGAGGATCTGAAGAAGGAAATTCAAAGAATAGGAGGAGTTACAGAAGGTAAGAAATAACCTATAAAGATGATGGAAATAAGCAACATGGCCTGTAGATTCCAGAAGAAGCACTGTCCTACATAAGAATGGCAGAGTCTCTAACTGCACGGCAAGCAGTCCCAAAAGAAAGTTAAGGAAGAGCTGTATTAGAAGCATGCTTCAAAACTGAGGCCTTATATTTTTAATCTGGACAAGAGAAGCTTGCTGAAAGATCAGGAAAAGCTTCATGCTGAAGCAAGACAAAGCGAGGTATTAGAAAATAAATATCACACAACACAAAAACACAATCACCCAAAGTATTTTTATTATTAAAAAAAAAAGAGAAACTCTTCAAATGCAAACAATTTAGTTAACAAAAATTGTGGACATTAGAAAGCTCATTTAAATCCCTGTTATTTTTTCTAGCACAATGGCTCAATTTATTCTTATTTAAGTCTTTACCCATCATTTAAATTTAATCATAGTTTCACAAGTGGCATGGGCAATATTGTTGTGGTTGCTGTTGGTTCCTTTGTTTTCAAAGAGGTCCAATGACATCATAGGGTGCTATCTTGCTCTTGAATTGCATTTAAGTGAGGCAGAGTTGCACAAAGTCACCAGCTTCACTATCTCTTCTAGTATCGCGGAAATCCAGTGGCAGAACAAAGGTCAAGACAACTGGTGATGGCCCAGGATGCTTTGATGTCTAACCAAGCTACAAGCGAGCCATCTGCAGCACCTGCTTCAGCCACCTTCATGGCCTCTGGAACAAACTGCTCTCATCTGCCCATTCTGCCAGGGGAAGTCTTCACATGCTTGGGGTAGACATCCCCCTAACTCACCGATGGGTTTGAGACCTGTCAGTTACCCTCAGCCTGGTTTAGCCCATCTGCCAAGATGGTTTTATCAGGGTGTGGTCACTGTGCCTGCCACAGCTTCTTGAAGGCACAGGTGAGAGCTGGGTCACAGGTGGACCCCAAAGATAGATGAGCAGCCCTGAAAAGGGCTCAGCAAGCCCTCCCACCAGAGCTAGTCCTCCCTGCATAACCCATACACCCCATGGGCAAGAAAGTACCCAAAAAAGTTAGAAAACTAGTCATTCTGAAGGACTGAGAACTTTTAAATGTTTTAGGAGACAAAAAACCCTCTAGTTTCAGGCCTAGCAGCAAGAGACCTAGACTCAAAGCCAGGAACCTAGTTTCAAGTTTCAAGTCTCAAGCCTGCCACTAAATATCCACGTAACCTTGGGCACTTTACTTCCTTGGAAGTCAGTTTCCCCATTTATAAAACAAGGTGGATGATATCCAAGCCCCCACGCCCAGCACTAAAAATTCTGGGTAAAGACAAAGTCCTGTACCAGTACAATTGAAGAATGAAGCTAGAGCCAG